ATTTTGACGTCATCTGTGATCTATTACTGAACAGACGCACGGCAACATGGAATCTATTTGTTAAATAGATAGTGAGTAGCGTAGCCAATCAGCGAACGGGATTCGTGATAGAACGCTAGCAGATTTACACTAAAACTCGATAGAAACACAGATTAGCACGAGCTGTTAACGTTGACGTAATGATGGCGCGAGCAACGAGAATTTACATTTCGATAATCAAAGTTAACAAGTTGTTTTCCTTTTTTTTCGTCGCGATGTTTTCTAAAAGAAATAGAAAACATGTTCTTTGTGTTTCTATCGAGTTATAGAAAAACTCGAAAAAGCTGTGCGAACACGAGCCGCAAATTTCTCTTTCTCCCAAAATTCCAATCGTGTTTCTATTACTCGATAGAAACACGGTATATGTTTTCTATTTCTTAAATCTTACACTAAACGAGTAGTGATTGAACAAAACAACATTAAATACGATGACAACATACAATGATCTTTTTGGCCGTATTTTGCGTCAGAAACCAAGCAGACAGGGTAAACAAATATCAGCTGTATTCAAACAAGAACAAGAAAATGGTGGCTTTTGAAATATATTTCTTATATATAATGTTTCAGTGAAATGCGTTTTTGTGTCTTTTAAGAACAAAACTTTGGTGGAAATCACACTTGAATATTGAACTAAACACAGACAACTCCCTGTGAAACAACTTGTTTGACAATATTTACTAGACCAATGGCCACCTCTTGTTTTATTGTGCATGGGAACATTTAGTTGTTAATGTTTCTTTTAGCTGCTTTATTATGTGTTTTTTTACCCTCTTGAGTGTGACTTGAAGCTCTTCTGACTAGATCGTTATTGAAGGCTCCAAACATGGCTAAATAGCTAACAATTAAAAGTTAGGGGAGACAAATTACTTCTTCCGATGCTAGTTAGGAGTTTTGACTTTATTGCATTGAATTTCAGCCAGCATCAACTGACACAAGAGAAAGGATTCTGCTCAGTCCCGCCACTGTGCACTATTTTTTCACCCTGTTTCATTCTCTTCACCTCTCACTCCAAACACAGGTTGTACCTTCAGTTACATCTAGTTACGCTTAAGCAGCCGTTTGTTGGTTTATGTTCCAATATTTTTGCCAGAATTTTAGAAATGGTAGTTAAATGTCATCGCTTCTGCATGCATTGCGTGCCGTTTATTAGACAAAGGTGCCAAGAAGACATAGCGATGTGCACGCGTCCTCTCGCTCAAATCCTACCGGAAACGAACTTGATTAGTGAGCCTCTGTACTTTGGGAAATAGAGCGGTATAGTCGGAAAACCTTATTTTTTTTATTTTAATAAATATATCTGTATAAACTACAATTCTTAAGCTTTCAGAAAATATAACTTTAATTGTGTTTGCGTCAAAAGTCCGACCGTAATGCAGCGCCAACGAAAGATAGTCATTTGGGGTATAGAGTTGCTCGCAAATATGGGCGAAATTTAAGGATACCTCTAAGTATAACAGAACAAAACACATGGTTCACTTGACGTCTTGCCGAACATTGTCAAGTGACAGATTATGTGTTTAAATTTGAAAAAGCTGACAAAATCAAATCCTTACTCTTGACGAATTTGAACAAAATTCTTTTTCCGAAAATCAAAAGTCCTCTAGATTTATTCCGAAAAGATACAAAATGGTGTCAAAGTAAAGGTACAGTAATATTATAATACATTATACATATAATGATAACACTCTTACCACTGATCCGTGTTGTGAGGCAGGAAATCCAAACTAGAAAACCAATCCGCCACATTATGAAGCTTTAGATGCCTGTATCATATAAGAAACCAAGAAAAGATCCGTTCAATTTCTTTGTTTAGTGTCAAATCGCGGTCCCTCGATAGCAACCCCTAAACTAGGCCGAGATATCTCGCTGACAGAACGAGCATGGGAAATTAGTTTGAGCAAAGTGTTTAGCCGGTCGCCCATCTTTTGCACTTTGTACAGAACCTGAAACTCGTGTTGACGAAGAAATAACAACTGGCTTTTTTCTTCTACAAATTGGCGGAGAACAACGTTTATGGGCAAGAAACAATTTATAAAATCAAATTCTCGTGCTCGATGCTCGATCATATCGAATTCACTGCGCAATTGCACAACTGAGCTAAATTTACTTTGACTGGCATTTTGTTCGGCTAGCCGAGATTCATGTTTGCGCGGCGGGAACATACCTTATTGCTGACAAGAGTAATGTTCTTTGACCAAGATGTCCTTATAAGTACCGTGCAGGTCTTGAAAAGTTATCGGAGAAAGCTGAAACAAGCTATAAGCTCACGCTTTTTATCAGGTTTCAACAAAGAAATTTTGGTCAGTAAAAAGCTTATATTGTCTGAGAATCTATGACGTCGATCCGGTGTTTTAGGTCACTTTGCAAATGACTTATTTTCTCCAGAGTGAACAAAATATTTGTGAACTTCGTCACGTTCTTGTTTGCAACGTCACGTTGTCGTTTGCAAGCCTGAATAAAATATTTGTGAGCCTCGTCACGTTCTCTCTTTAAATATTTTTTCATCTCGTTTTTTTTTAATAAGTAGTTGTTTCGAAGAACATTTCCACACGAGCATGTAACATAAATGAATCACCTGTCAGAATAGTGTTACCATTTCCGCGCGAAGGCGACTTGGGGACTGACTACGCCGCAAAATTGGAATTGACATTCGCCCCGTGTATACAAGCCGTAAGATCGGACAGGAGATCAAACCAAAAGAAAAGAAGCAACCTGTCATTAACTAGTAACGCGTTGTTTACTATTACAAGTGTGGTTTGTGCGATGCAAACTATGTCGGGTATACGTGCCGACACCTCTATCAGCGCGTTGAGGAACACAAAGGATCGTCTTCGATCGGGAATCACATTAAAGAGCAACATGGAACAGTCCCAAGTGACGTATATCGTGATTTTAAGATCTTGAGAAAGTGCCGAAATAAATTTGACTGCCTGATCTACGAAATGTCCTTTATAAAGGAGTTTAAGCCAACTTTGAACAAACAGTCTGATTCAATCCGTGCAAAGTTATTATGGTTGACAAATATAGAAGCAGAACTTCTTTAGCTAGAAAACGCTTCAAGTATGAGAAATTATGGAGGGGAGCTACGATAAAAATTTTGTACCTATGACACGAAGCTGAAATTGTGCAGCCACGTGAGTCACGGAATATTGACAGAAAGGTGCTACCTTGGACAGTTAAATATTTAAACAAACGTTCATTGAAAGCAAATTTACTAAAGGCAGGAATTTAAATACCAAAGAGAAACAGGAAAGGAAGTCACTTACTCCTTCTAAATACGCAAATTAAGGCCTCGTGGTTAAGAGCAGGCAGAAATTCTAGCACGTCGGCAGGAAATGTGCGGTTTTCATGAATGACTTCAATCTGACAGGAGAAACGAAAACGATCAGTGACGAGATGTTGCTTCAACATTTTTTCCTGTTTTATCTTTTGGAAGTTCCACCGCAAAAACAAGATGTCTATTACACTGCGCGAGAAATTTAGTTCCTCTAAGTCGGTTTTCACTTGCGCATATAATTTCAAAAAGAACAAGGTTAAGCAATATACCCAGCCGCAGCAAGGTTATTATCGTGGCAAAGCACATTAATTATATGACATCTTACCCCGTCTGAGTATTTTTCTTATGCTTAGACTTAAATGCGCGAATGAAGACCAGTCTTTGGGGATTAAGAAGTTGTGCGTGTAAGTCAAATGTTATAAAATTGTGCAAGCTCAGTAGTAGTACAGGTGTCAGCTTCTTGATCGCGGTTTGTATCTGACCCGGTAAAAAAAAATATATGTAGTCAATGAATTGATTAAATACGTGTCAACTTTCAGTATTTCCGGTTACTTTTATTTCGTCACGGTCATGATTCAAAGCCTTCATGGGTTGTTCATTCCCTACCAGGTAAAAATGTGATCAATGACAGTCAAATTTTTGAATTTCTGGATAGAAAAATTCCCGAGAAATTCACAGTGCAAATCAGACCTTTTCAACTCGGTTTGCACCACCTTAAAAACCCGAACTACCATACCGATCATGATCTTAATAGTACTTTTTTATTGTGAGCGGACTTGTTCGATATAAGGTTGTCTTTTCCAAAAGGTTTTTAGAAAGGGTCCGTAACATGATTAATATGGGCGTGCACGGCACGAAAAATTGGATTTACTCTAAATTTGATCCTGATCAAAGTCGAAGTCAAATATGATCAT